ATATATATAGTGTAACATATTTAGTAAATATGGCAGTATTTCATGTTCTTATTAGATTTTCTGAGGCATTGTTGAGTTTTCTGTTTAATTTTTGACATTTTCCCTTGGTTTTTACAAATGAAACAAAACAAAAAATTAATAAAAAAGAGTTTTGTAGGTGTTTAAGTTAATGCTTGTTTAGTATGAGTATTATTTGTAACTGTTATATATATAATAATAATAATAATAATAATAATAATAATAATAATAATAATAATAATAATAATGTTTTATGTGTTGTCATCATTGTATGTTCCCATATAATGGTGAAACTGGCTCGCTGCAGATGTAACTTATATCGGCGATGTATAAGATGTAAGTTACATCTATAACACTTACAAACAATACTCTAACTAATCAAGTAACAATTTAAACAACTATTTTTAAAAGTGAGTTTTCTAAACATATTGCAGTCTTTTGTTGTTGTTGGATTTTCTTGTAGTTCTTGCAGGTTAAAGTGTCTGTTATCTTAATGTTACAGAACTACAACTCTGCTTTTGTGCACAAATAAATTATTGTTTTATGAAAAAACAAATTAACAAAGACTACAAACATCACCTCTTGTTTTCTGCACTGAATCAAATACATTATTCCATATTCTTACTGAAGGGCACTTAAAGCTTGCTAAATAAACAAATAAATAAATTTAGTAAAACTAGTCATGACTTTATAAAATGAATATCGCAGATATCTCCGAGGTACAGTGAATGCAACTCAGGTGGGCGGGGCCAGAATGGTCCAACTGGAAGCTGCGTTCAGGGACACGTTGAGCATGTCAACTTCCTGTTTGTGGACGGAAGCTGCTAAATAAGTAACTTTTCCTGCTACAGTGATCTCCACCATGGTATGTGCTGACAAGTGACTGAACAAAGCGTGTATTTATTTACTTCTGCTTTAGTTTTGACTATCTGTAGCTAGCAGCTCGCAGTCAGCGACTCGCGTGTTAGCAGACAGATTGATGGACAGCTGTCAGTGGCCTGCAGCTGAGGGGTCTCTTGTGTTGTTTCAGGTACTCGTCGACTCCGACTCGGTGCTTATTGTTCGTGTCAAAGGACCGCTGGAGTTCAGGTGTCTGCTGGACAGCACAGATGGTACGTTCACTGACACATTTACCTTACAGGCACAGAACAAAAAGCCTGTGAGTGACAGGAGGGGGGGGGGGGGGTCCAGGTGTCTGTCCACATTTATCCATGGTTGTGTTTTCTGTAACAAACGTTTTAGGTTCACCTTTTCTTCCATATTTAGGTCTGTATTATGATTCATAATAATCACATCAGACACAAGATCGTTAGAAAAGACTTGAAAAGACCAGATCAGCCTAAAAACATGAATAAAGTTAGAGCAACTTAACGTTGGTCTCACATCCCTCCAACATCTCATCTCATGTAAAAACTGCAGTGAGCCACTGGCAGGATTCAAATACCACAGCTTCTTTATTTCCTGCTCAAATTACACAAAGTTTGTACGATTTGAATGCTGAATAGTTGCACATTTAGACAAAAATTCCAGGAAATATTCGTGGCGTTCCTGAAACAGTGATATTATGATTCCTCTTTAAGTAACGTGTCATACAGCAACTGCTAATTTAGGCATTGCAAATCAATCAATCGTCATCAAATTATTGACAAGAAACCAACAGAGATTAAAGTAGAGAGATCAAGTATAGATAAAGGTTGAATGGAAACAACAGGACAACGTCCTGGTTGTTTTTAAAAACACAAGACAAAAACATCAAAGTCTGTGAATTGTTCTTTGTGTGTGTGTGATGGATAAAGCTTGACAAAGCAAAGGGATCAACGCCAAGACTGGTTGGTGAAGAAAGATGGAAGTTATGACATTTTGGGACTAAACCTGTTTTTTCCCTTTTAACACTGAAAACCAAACAACATGCTGGACCTGCAGGAAACAACAGATTAACACCACACCCTGTTTTACTGAAATAATTGGAAGGAATGTTGAGTAGAAAATGATGTGTTCTTAACATCAGCTACATATTTTATTATTAATTAATGAATTTATTAATAACTGTAAACTGTGTAATTTGGAACTATCATGCAAACAAAATAGACAATAATAAATAAAATATATGGGAATATATTAGTTTAATAGTGGATTAAAGAGAAGCCTTTGTCTTTGCTTTGGATTTGCGTTAAGACTTGTCGTGTTCGGGGGCTCAAGAACTCTGTTCCCAAGAACTCTGTTCTCAAGAACTCTGTTCTCAAGAACTCTGTTCTCAAGAACTTTGTTTTCAACAACTTTGTTTTCAAGATCTTTGTTCTCAAGATCTTTGTTCTCAACACCCTTTCATCATGGAAGTCGGTCAGTATTTAAGTCAAACATTACGATTTAGTGCCATCTACCTTGGATAGGGCTGTGAACCCAAATGGAACAAGCTTGTGGACCCAGAGTGTTTTCATCACTCATGGACTGCATGAAGTAACCTGGATCAGAACCTCTAGACTTCAGGGCAGTTCTGACTACAGTTTGATATTAAAATGGAAAGCACAAGCAGTGCTTAAAGATCCTTAATGATGAGAAACGGGCTCTGTGTGTTTCTTTGTCCGGACAGTGGAGCGTGCGCACAAGATAATCTCGACAACCTTTCAGAACCTGCGCTCCCAGGTGAAGTCGGACTTCGTTGTTCTGGCGGTCCCTGACAGTCCTGTTTTTATTTGGCCAAACAAAGACGTTTATGTGGAAACGTCTCCAGACACTCCGTGTGAAGATGTACTTCAGTGGACACGGTAAGTATTCCTCTGATTTATACGTACTCTCATCGTTAGACAACGATGGCTCAACTCAATGTTTTGAAGTCTTTAAGGTTTTAATGCTCTTGTTTGCATAAATCTGGTTCTTTGTATAGTTCTGGTGTTTTTGGAACATTTAATCAGCTCTTATGTTCTCATTTATGCAACTTGAACCCAGAGAAAACCGCCAACCCTCAGTGAAGGTTCCTCACTTTTCTTTTCAACACAGCAGAAATTTCCTTTAAGGGTTGGGGAGGAGACGTTTTTCTGTTCTGGAGCAGATTTTATTTTATTATTATTCTATTTCTGTTGCTGTTCTTCATTTCAGAACAGATGAACACGATTCGAGCGGGAAAAGATGTGCACGAAAGAAGAACAGAAAAGGTTTGGCAGCGGTATGTATAAGTTTTGTATTTTATTCTTTAAATAAATAAACTCCATTTCACTTTGAGCTACTACAAATTTACCAGAGCAGATAAATTAGTATTCTGAACAGTTTATGTACCTAAAACAGGAATAAGGTCAGTACTCATCACGATGTATGTATCTGGTAAATGTTTTTAATACAACTCTTAAATTTAACATTTAAAAATGGTCAGAAACAGAAGAATTCTTTAAAAACCCAAATCTGTTGACTAAGTGTTGTCAGAGAAGACGTTTAAAGTTTTCACCTCCTTTACTAAAGAGGAGTGCGACCATCCAACCTGTTTTCAGCACCTTGCTCAAAGACCTACCTCTCTGATGGTATGGGGGTGCATTGCTGCCTCTGATATGAACAGCTGACACATCTGGAAAGGATCATCAATTCAGAGAAACATCTGCTCCCATCCAACAGAGAAGATCCAGAACTGGAGGATAATTAGGATGGTTCAACAGGAATGGGACAACATTCCCTCCAGAACCTGGTCTCTCCAGGTCCTCCAGATCCTCCAGAACCTGGTCTCTCAAGGTCCTCCAGATCCTCCAGAACCTGGTCTCTCCAGGTCTTCCAGAGACTCCAGAGTCTGGTCTCCTCAGTTCTTCAAAATCCTACAGAACCTAGTCTCCTCGGGTCCTCCTGAACCTCTAGAAACTGGAGTCCTCAGGTCCTCCAGAACCTGGAATTCTCAGGTCCTCCAGAACCTGGTGTCCTCAGGTCCTCCAGAACCTGGTGTCCTCAAGTCCTCCAGAACCTGGAGTCCTCCAGAACCTGGAGTCCTCAAGTCCTCCAGAACCTGGAGTCCTCAGGTCCTAGACTGTTTACAGGACGTCTCTCTGTCATGAACACGACCCTGTCCTAAATTATTTTTGATGTTTTGCTTTAATGAAATTAAAAAGAACCCTTTTCTTCTAAAATTGAATAAAGGTATCATTTCTTGGTTTAAACTTTAGATTAATTGTTCCGATGTGATGAAAGTATTTTACAAATCGATCTGTTTTTTATTTACATTCCACACGACAGCCCAATGTTGAAGTGAGTTTAAAACTAGTGTTTCTGCTTCAAAACGCCAGAGTTTGTTCTTGCGTGTTGTTCAGAGCGTCTTGAACCTTTCCCTGGTGATGGAAGTGACGAGACCAGGCTGCCTCGCGGCTCCAGTCCTCAGGAAAACCCTTCAGAAATCCCACTTCCTGTCTGCAACCCTCCCCATGGACTGTGTCGTGCGCACCAGCTGCAGCACCACCATCAAAGAGTATGTGTCTGTTTGGAGCTCGGTCCACTTCAGGGGACAGTTTTATACAAAGACAATAAAGAAATTGTCTTGCATATGAATAGAAATGTTCTTGTTCTGTGTTGCAGAGCCTGCTCCCAGCTACTGGAGGCGCTGACCCACCAGTTGTGTGAGATGGAGAAGCTGACCCTGCAGCACATGAAGGGGGTGACGCTGCTCCTCCCAGAGCCACTCCACTTCCTCCTACCAGAACCCATCGGGCTGGTGACGGTGCTGTTTCCTGCAGGAGTGTCTGACAAAGAGCTGGAGACCCAACGAAGGGTAGGAGGCACAGAGCCCCGTGTTTTGGCCCCGCCCACTCCACATCAGCATTCTGATTGGTTAATGTTCCTGTCAGTCATTAAAAAAAAACTCCTGCAGAGACTCTGATGAGCTCGGCCTTCTCTGCTGACACTGAAGTCCTGACCAATCAGAGAGAAGTTTCAAACGTGTTTCTGCCCAGAGACAAAACTCAAGAGTCTGATTGGATGACTGGATTCTCATTAGTTAAAAAGTTTATTTCTCAAATGCAAAATAGTTTACAGAAAATAAGAAAAACTAAACTGAAAATATTTATTTTATATAAAAACTAAATTAAACATTTGAATTTAATATTTGCTGATATTTAGGCCTTCTCTGAAAGAGTCGAAGGCCCTGAGGGGTCTATGTTTCCTAATGCCCCATTTGCACTGCCCCTAATAAGCCCCAATTCTGGGCAGCCTGCCACAGAAAGAACCCTTTTGCACTAATACTTTAGTATTTTTAGCTGATTTGAGGCTGATTCAAGACCTCTTTTTCATCCCTGCTTCTCTGGTGGGACCGAGCGAGCTCAGCTGAGCTGAGTCCGGACAGAAACGTGAATGCAGGACTCTGATTGGTCAGGGGGAGGAGTCACTGGATCTCAGAAACTTTTCACTGAGCCGCCGTTTGCAATTTCTCTGGATGCGGAGCAGCTGCTGGATCTATTTTTAAGATTTTAAAAACAGTAGCGACAACGCCGTGTTTAATTCTGAAGCCCAGGTGTTTTTTTGTGTTTGGTGACCGAAGATAAAATTCGAGCGAGCGGTGTCACCGCGGAGGATCATACGAGCTGCTGACCTGTTGAAGTCCGCGAGGCTGGACCCCAAGCCCCTGCCTCGCCTGCTCACAAAGGCCGGATTCGAGCCCTGGCAGGCAGGAGGACCGGGACGAAGGGTGGAAACATTTTTTTAAAAACATTTAATGTATAAAAAAACAAGTTGTTTTTCATCAGTGAAGATTAAAAATAAATAAACGGTGCCGGCTTTATCGTGAAATCCTGTTTTCACTTTGACTTTATTAAATAATCTGTTAATTAAAGTTAATTCAACTGAAAAATCATAAAAAGACTAAATTTATGAATCTCTCAAATTTCCCTCCAACATGTTTAAAGAAGAGACACAGCCTTTGGTTCAACATTCTAGTCCACAGATGTACAAATCACAAAACAAGAATTGCACTTTAAATTAAAGCTTTAAATCAAAGTTAAACTTTAATTCAAAGCTTAAAATAATCTGTATACAAGAAACAAAAGCACAATGAGCGCAAATACATCAAATGATGAAGAAAAATAAAGAATTTTAAATATAAATATCCTGATGCATGCTCAATAATCCAGGTAGAAAAATCTAAAAAAGTTCAATCTGGTCCTCTGGACATTCAAAAATCAAACAAACAAAAACAAAAATGTAGAAACGTTTCTTCTTTCATTCGAAAGACTTCTTCAGTCTGAGGTGCTGCATTCACCTCAGACTGAAGAAGCCTTTCGGATGAAAGAAGAAACGTTTCTACATTTTTTGTTTTTGTTTGTTTGTTTTTTGAATGTCCGTAGGACCAGATTGAACTTTTTTAGATTTAAATATAAATGTTTTTGTAGAATCTGGTTCATCAGATTTAATTCAGTTCAGTTTATTTATATAGCGCCAAGTCACAACAGAAGTCGTGTCAGGGCACTGAACAGAAATATTCATATATAAAACAAGTTAACAGAAACATTCATTTATATAAAAAATAATTTAACATTATTTATCTGAGGAGCAGACTGCTTTGAGTTTAACTTGTCACAGAACTCTCATTAGCAGGACTTGGATTCACAAAACGCCTCCAGAATCGGTCCTAAAGTGCAGGTGCAAATCCAGGCTGAGCTGAGTTGGGGCTGATTAGGAGCTGTGCAAAAGGGGCATTAAGGATTGTTTCTTCGTTTGTCCAAGCAGGAGTTGCATCAGCAGTTTGATTTGCCAGATGACTGGCCTTACTTCAGAAGAACCAACGTTTACCACTTCCCCAATGAGCCCTATGGGGACGGTTATCTCCGAAACCCTCACAGCGTTCTCACACACCCTACCCTGGATGACGGAAAGGTAAATTAAACAGTTGCAATTTTTAAATCTTCCTTGAAAATGTGCTCAGATTCTGTCTGTAAGGGCTGAGAGCCTTGTTGCTGGTGTTGTTTCTTAAACTTGTGCACTTGGTCGAGGTGTTCTTGGTGCGGGGGGTCTACAGCTACCACCACTACATGCAGGACCGTATCAGTGACGATGGCTGGGGCTGCGCCTATCGCTCCCTGCAGACCATCTGCTCCTGGTTCCAGCAGCAAGGTTTCGTGGAGCGCTGCGTGCCCTCTCACAGGGAGATCCAGCAGGTCCAATAAATCTGACTGTCACAGCACAGAACATTGTCACAAATGTCTCTTTTTAAAACCGTGACAGCCAAGATGTCTGTCTCCCTCCGCTCCAGGCCTTAGTTGATGCTGGAGACAAACAGGGGCCCTTCCTGGGGTCTCGTCAGTGGATCGGATCCATTGAGGTCCAGATTGTTCTGAACCATTTGCTCGGGATCACGTCCAAGATCCTGTTTGTGAGGTAGGATCAACGTGAACCCAGCACCCAGTGAAGGCGTATTAATCTGACTTGTGTTTTCTTCAGTCAGGGATCTGAGCTGGCGTCTAAAGGCAGAGAGCTGGCCAACCACTTCCTCACTGAAGGAACTCCTGTGATGATCGGTGAGCTGACGTCCTCGAAACATGAATGTTTCCAGCCAGAACCAGCGCTTGTGTCTGCGATGTTCTTTTGTAGATTCAGTTTGTTGTCCCCGTCACAGAGCGAAAAGAGGGAATTGGAAATACCCGCAGTCCTTTTTTTTTTTTTAAACAGGGTGACCACATCAAAATCCAAGATGGCTGCTTCCATACATAAATATAAACTGACCACCCCGATCATTTGAGGAAACGTTGCTTTCTGGTTTTTTATGTTGCTTTAAAGCATAGTTTCTTCAAATGATTGGAGTGACTGAAGAATAATCTATGGGGCCAAGGCCACCATCGGCCACCCTCTGGCTCCACCACTTCACCTGTATTGGATAAAATGTCTCCCTCCAGGATCCGTCACTCTTCTCTGCCTCAGACAAGACATAAAACATCTCCCTCTGTTCTGATCCACAGAGTAACTCCTCCACTTGAACATCTTAAAAAAAAAAAAATAACATTTTAGGTTTACTTCATCCTCTGCTCAGTTCCAGTCCATAAAAACACTCCTCTCCAGAACTACAAGCATTCACTGTTCAAACCCTCTCAGAGACCGGGACACTGGAGTCTTGTTAACGGCTCATTTAAAGGTTTACGTCAGAATTAGTGATTTTATCAAACTACATGTTGTTTAACTGTTCAAGCACGGCAGAGGAGTTCAGCTTGTTAAAGATGTTGGTTTGCTCTGCGCTGCAGGTGGAGGAGTTTTGGCTCACACTATCCTGGGCGTGGCGTGGAGCGAGACGACGGGGCAGATCCGGTACCTCATTCTGGACCCGCATTACACCGGAGGAGAAGACCTGCAGGTTATTACAGAGAAGGTAACGTCCGCAGGCAGCAGCATTTCGCCTCTGAGTTCAGAGTTTTCTCAATCACTGCTGGTCTTGTCTTCCTCAGGGCTGGTGCGGCTGGAAAGGACCGGAGTTTTGGGACCAAACGGCGTATTACAACCTCTGTTTGCCTCAGAGGCCCAGGGTTATCTAAATCTGAAGTATTTATATGACTATTTAAGTAATTTTCATTAAATGCTTCATGAATTTTTGCCTCTAAAGAAGTCCAACAACCAGAGATCGTGTTGAAGATAAACTGTTGTATTTGGCATTGATTTGTCAAAGAACGGTAAAAAAATGCAGATTAGCCTTTTTGAAGAATAATTTATAGTGAAAGTGTCAATTTTACTGTTTACTGTTACTATTAGTTGGACAAATAAGCTCCTAAAAGTGACACTAAATAAAGTTGTTACAAGAGTTTTTAAAGCTTGGCTTCGTTTTGTGGTTTTAAATGTAAATACTTTTATAACTGTGCAACGCTGGTATTTATGAAAGTAAAAGTATACAGTAAATGTTTACTTTCCCAGAAGTTTCCCAGGACCACGACAATAAAGCCAACTCTGTGGAGGTCTGATGTTTCCATTGTCGTCTCTGAGGACTTTAGAAATGGACCTGGACGCCTTCAGGTCTGTTCTGGTTCTGGCTGCAGGTCTTTGTGGTTCTGTGGGTTGACAGGAAGTTTCAGGGATGGATGATTCTCTGCACATCCTTTAGATTCTTGGTTGTGTGAAGATTGTGGGATGAAGTTGAGCAACAGGAGATTACCGGTTGCAGCTTCCTGTGTAGCCAACGTTCCCCAAGACTTCGCCTGAAGGACTTTTAATGTGGATGATTGATTTATTAACATTTAGCTAAATAAATTTTCAGAATATCCCGAAATACTGAGCTTATTTTAAGCATGGAAGCAGCACAGTTCTATAGAAAAGGTATTTTTTGTTGTTGTTTTTGGAGTCTGATATTAAAATGTGTCAGAAAGAATTCTAATCCTCACCCAGAGCTCCAAAAACCCAGAAAGACTCGTTCTCACTAGTGTGTGAAGATTTATTTCTCACCCAGTTTCAGAAAACCAACTACTGTATCTATTTTTTTTCATTTAGATTCACTTTGTATCTATTTGGATTTATTGTAGAGGAGGTAAGAAGCATCATTAGAGTTTTATATTGTGGGAGGATTGTAGTGAAGTTTAACTCATCCTGAAGTTTTAATCATGATCATCTTTTGTTTCGCTCCAAAAACTTGTTTAACCACTTGTTTCAGACCACAGATCTGTACTCCTCGTTCCGACTGCATCGCTCATGGGAAAACAGGGTTATTTAGTTAGAATAAGATGTTATGTTAAAATCTTCCTTCTTTTTAAATGAACTTTTAATGAATAGAAGCTAAATGACCTGTGCTCCATGACGTTTGAGCACTTCAGGAAGGTTAATGAATTTATCAGTATGTTTATGTTCTTCACTAAGCATCACAATATAAATATAAATGTTTTCAACAGTAAAATTAAATAAATGTTTACAAAGCAATTTAATAGATGACAAATTATGGTACTACAGTACTACATTATGGTACTACATCTTTTACAGAAAACACTCTTTATATCATGAAATATTTTTTTAAAATTCTGCCAATTTGTGAATGTATTCATGAAGGGATTGTGTTCTTTGCTAAATCATAACTTGGAGAAATCTAGATTTTAAAAAGGGGAATTTTAATATTTAAGCATGGTCAAAGCTTCAGCTGTTTTGAAAGTTTATCATTAAAAGGCAGTGTTTGTGTGGGGAAATTATACTCATTGGTAAAAATGTAAAAATAACTGATCTAAATGAAAACTTAACACGGTTCTCAGATTTGGCCTCAGCTTTAGGCTGATAATTGATGTAGTTCTTAAGTGTTACAACGTATTTTTTATTTGTTTATTTAGAGGCTATTATTTTTATTTTTTATTTTATTAATTTTATTTTATTTTTTTTGTAATAAATGTCCGTTCACTCTTTGCAGTTTACGCATGCGCATAGCGAGTCTCGCCTAGAAGAAACCGTTACCAGGAAGTGACGCTCCATGGTTACCAAGCGCTCCGTTGCTGTATCCGGTTGTTTTGTATTTTTCTGTTGGGAGCCTTGGGATTTCATCTTTTGTCATTTTAAAATGATGTGTTATTTCCTCTGATAGAGCTGTAAGGTGAAACGCTGTCTGTTTCTGCCTCCTGAAGGTGAGATGTTGCTTTGTGTCCACATAGCTAAAGCTAGCTCACGTTAGCTAGTTGTGGTTGAACCGTCAAACATTAATGTCTGTCCGCTGCTCTGCGTCTTCTAGTTTTGTTGTTTTTCTCAAGCAGTACTGAATGTGAATTATTCAAATGTTAATTTTGTCTGCATTCAAATTGCAGTTGTTTTGTTTTGAATCTGTTGCTAAGTGTTGCGCCTTTGCATCTTAAATGCAAAGTTGTCTTTGCATTATAAATTAAAACCATATTTCTAATTCTCATTTTGTATGTGATGATTTTTTTAAACGTTTCTGGGATCCCCATTCATCTGTCTGTCCACATTCATCCAGAACCACAAGCCTGCCCTGACCTTGTGGGCCTGATGTTCATTTGGGCCGTTTATTCTTTCCATCACATCTGGACTTAATGTGGCCCGAGGACCAGAAGAGACATTTGGACCATCCTAATTTAGCCCTTGGTGTTCTCCACCAAAAACTACTTAAAATACAGGGTATCCGTTCAAATCATTTTTCTGTTATTGAGGGGGTGTTAGCGGGCAGCAGGCAGCATTTCTGCTTGGTTTTTCCAGCATAATCCACCTCAATGTTTTGAGTTAAAACAGATCTAAACTTTTTTTTTTTTGTTTGCCAAGTTAATACTACTATGGCATGATCAACTTAAAACACACTGTCAGTGTACTTCAGCCATTCTAGAGTATTATTTAACCTTCCACCCATTTTTCATCTCACAGGTCTGTTGGGAGAAGCTGCCATGTTCAACCCCAGTGAACTGGAAGGTGAAGTGGATCACTCATTTTTTGACAGTGATTGTGATGAGGGCAGAGAAGATGGAAGAGAAAAGAAAGAAGGAAAGCAGAGCTCCAAAACACCCGAGCAGTTACCTTCAAAACATACCCAAGATGCAGGTATGGCTCCGTCCTCAACGACAGAAAGGACGAGGAGACACATTGACAGTGAGGATGAGTCCAAGCTGTGCTCTAAAGGGCCCAGTGGAACCTTGTTGGCTTTGATGGCTGAAGAACTAGAGATGGATTGTGTCCACACTCCAATGACAAATAAAACAGAAGAAAAAGCCTTAGCTATGAGTGACGGCCTTAAAAGGAGCAGAGAGAAATCTGCTGGAAAACCATCACATAACCTTCATCCATCTCTCACTTTGGCTGATGCGGATGCAGACTCTGAGAGCTCCTGTAGCAGTCAGAGGTCCCCCACCCTGCCCAAAACCACCAAGTCATCTTTACGTCATGGACTAAGAAGGACCAGAGTGGGCTCAGCAGGATCTCGGGATTTGCCCGCTGTAAGTACAGATGAGTCAGACGACACAGTGACGGATGTGAGCCCCCTCTCCTCACCTGATATCAGCCCTCCCCGGTCTCATCTGAACCACACCGAGGAGGGGGGAAGCAATGAAGAGGAGCAGGAGAGGGTGCCCTCCAGTGACCTCAGCAGCATCCATCAGGAGGAGCCTTCACACCAGGAAATGGATGAAAGTGAGTCCACCTGTGTTTACAGTAGGCTCCTACCCCATGTTGGTTTGTTTTATTTGTTAAAATCTTCTGACTGTTTATATCTTGGCAGTGGTAAAAGCACGTTTTCTCTCAGTTCTTGACATTATTACATAAATAACCCTTCAACCACAACTTTTTTGGTATTTGACAAAGCTTTAAAACAAAAGTATAACAAGAGTCAGTCTTAATTTAAATAGATTTTTGTTCTCTTAAATGAAACTAGTAAACTAGCCTTTTACTAAGCCTGTGTGTTCATATTTTAGGTTGCATCAGGAATCAATAAACCATATTTCTTTATTTTCTAGTCAACAGTAAACCTCTTACATGCAGTGTTTAATGATAACAAATGCGCTTTTCACCATCCAGGCTCCTCCTTCAGTTTAGAAAGTCTGCTTGAGCACAAACTGGTCATCAACTGTCCTGGAGGGAGGAACAGGAAGAACTACTCGTTTACCAACGATGAGGTTACGCGCATAGATCGAGAGAATCAACGACTTCTTCGGGAGCTTTCTCGGCTGTCTCCGGCTCCCAGGTGGAGGAAAGCAGCGGGGCAGAAAGCCTGCATGTCCACCAGCTCCCCTCTGATCCACGCCTCTCACAGCGCCCTGAACAGGCAGCGAGAACAGCGACGCATCGAGCGGGAGAACCTGGTGAGGAACGAGGTTTTGATCAGAACTTCACACTGTTCAATGCCGTTAATCAGTCTTAAAAGCTGTAACACATTTAACTGGAGACTTGTATGTCGTTTTCATTTTCATACATGTTTTTATTTGCTTCAAAACATTGACCAGTGTTTAATTTTCTGCATTTATTAAAAATCTTGTGGTAGCCGATCACATAATAAATACATTCATCCATCCATTTTATTTACCCGCTTCGCATTTCCGGGTCACAGGAAGCTGGTGTCTTATCTCCAGCAGTCATTATGCGAGAGGCGGGTGACACCCAGGACAGGACAACAGTCCATCACAGGGACACATTGAGACAAATAAGACAACCGTTCACCCTCTCACTCACAAGGAGGGACAGGTTAGAGTTACCGATGAACCTAATGTAGAGGTTTTTAATTTGTGGGAGAAAACCCACAGGGAGAACATGTCAGCTCCACCCAGAAAGATCTCAGGTGATTTTCTTGCTGAGAGGTGACGGCTCCACCCGCTGTTCTACTGTGTCACCCATAATAACTACAGTTAAAATGTTCTGTTTGTTCTTAGGAGCACAAATGTGAACTTATGGGTCAGTGTGAGACTTTGATATCTTTAAAATGTGACTAAACGCACCCCAGCTGTTAGCCATTAACTTCCTTGAGGGAATGCCTGTCACTCATCACCTTTAATGCCAGAGGTTTAGACTAAGATCATCTGGTGTTAGAAATGATGGAGTTGGAGCTGTTTGAATCAAACCCAGGCAGAAACTAACATTATGTACAATCTCTGTGTTGTGAACGCCTTTCATCTACAACCACTTCAAACTTCAGCTTATCATCTGTAAAGTTGACAGAGTTATAGCTGATTTTGTAGTTTTACTGGCCAATTAGACATCTTGAATGGGGTTGGCTTTAATTATAGGTACATCGTCAAATGATTACTTTTTGAACATTTCTTTAAAATCCATTCAAAGTGATTTTAACGACAGATGGACACGGGCAAAGACATTATTGTCCCCCTCTGTCTTTTGTCAGCTAGTAATAGTAAGAAACTCTGGCAGAGGGAGAACAGGGTCCAAACCTCCACAGATTACTGTGAATGCATCGAGGTGTTTGTAGCTTAGCAACGATTGAGCTGAGGACATCTAATGAAGCATCACATGAGAAAGTCTTGGTAGACAACAGAGAGGTAAATGTTCAGTTTCTACAGTTCAGGGAAACTTCTTCACCATAACACGTCCCTCTCTACACAAACCACTCGTTCTGTCTGAGAGCTGGGACCTGAGTGGTGTTGGACACTGAGCTATCCAGTCATTAAAAAAAAACAGCTAAAGAAGTCCAGATGTTGTAGTACCGGCTCATTTTTACAGAGCTGAAGTACATCAGACAATCATTTGTTCTTAAAGAGATGTTTGAAGTTGTTGCACCTTCCAGCACCCTTAAGCGTCCTCTAGGAACCTGCATGGGAGATGTTTGCATCATTTACTCTGTCACCTTGAGACATCAGAGATGAGTTGTGGCCTCGTCCTGAGTAATAAGGGAGTTGCTCCGGTCATTTATGGTGAATAAGAAGCTCTTCTGAAAGGCAGTCAGTCTACATTCATCCTCTCATGTGTGGTCATTTTGGGTCTTGATCGAATCAAAGAAATTCCAGATCCAAGCAGCTGAAATTAGCTTTCTTTGTGGGACGTCTGAGCTCAGCTTCAGAGTTGAGATGAGGAGATCTGTCATCCGGGGCAGGTCAGGGTAGGCCATATAGAACCATGTAGATTAGTTCTGGGGCTAATCTATATCTGGGGCTCAGGTATCAGCATTTGGAAGGTGACCAGTTTGGTTTTATAGAGGTGGTCATAATCTTATGGCTGACTGGTACCGATCATTTGGTTTCTGTAGGGTTTGGTCTGAGAACCCGGTTCTGAAAACTGATACTGAACATTTATAGACAGCAGCAGGTGGGGGGGGGAGGGGGGGGGGGGGCAGCCCCCGATCTACAGAGTGACGACACACACACCCCCCCCCCCCCCCAACACACACACACACACATACACACACACACGCACACCCACAGAGTGCTGATATTTATTCATGACATCAGAATAAAGTCGTTTAAATGTTGTTCAACAGTTTAAAAAGTGGAAGAACTGGTTCAATTCTTGTTCCAGTTTCACGTGTTAAAGTTTACACACGTTAGTAACTAAACTGTTTTTAATTTTTGTCAAAAACTTTGTATAGAAATCCAACAGAGTTAGGTCAGGTCCTCTGGACGACGTTTTTCCTGCATTATTGAGCATGAACTTTGATAGAAATAACTTTCACTCGTTTTCAGGACAAACTGTTCTGACTGAACTGCAGCTCGTCGGGACGGCTGTTCAATGTCTCTATTCTGAGAGAGACGTAATTTAATCTGCCGTGTGATCAGAGTGACACACATGCACACACACACATACTCATTCAACACAAAAGAACAAGTTTGTCCTGCTTTTGCAAAGATGTGAAATTATCTCAATAAACAGGTTAATATGCTGATTATTAGACAGATTATTAGGCAGATTATTAGGCAATTTAATATGCAGATTATAAAATGATTAATGTGCAGAATAATGGGCTGATTATAGGCAGATGAAGTGTGGAGATACTTCAGTATTTCACTAATAAATGTAATAAAACATGTTTTTCAGTATATTAGAAGTTGTAATAACTGGTAAATCCATATGTTTTACTCCTCAGATAATTAGTTTTTAGTTCAATGAAAGATGAAAACAATAAAAATGTGTTTCTCACACTCTGGTAGTTTGTGGAGAAGTTTAACGAGCCAGGTTAAAAGAGTCTCGTTTGTTAAACAGGCTTTCCTGAAGAGACTGGAGCGGGTGAAGTCCACGCCGGGCCTGAGGCGGTCAGAGCAGCTGGCAGACTATCAGCGCTACACCGGATACCTGGGCGCTCCGTCAGGTCCGCTCTACAGAACCAGCGTGAAAAGACAGAGACGGAGCGGGACGACGTCCTCAGGTGAGTGGGGGGGGTTAAACTTCTGGGGATTTACAATCAGATGGAAACAGAAAAACACGACAGAACACCTGGTCAGCCTCACGTCGGCCCAAATAAGAAGCAGCTCCATGTTCTGCCCGTGTCTCGTCTCTGAGCTTATTGTCCCCTTCGCAGGATTGGACATACCTTCGGTCCATCCGTGCACGTTATGAGCACGATAACTTGAAAAATAAGAGACGTATCAATTTCCACTTTGGTGTGACTGCATGTAGGCATAAGAAAGGTTCCTTTCAAAATTCTGGTTGCCATGTCATACTCCAAGATGGTCGCCACCATGTTTTTGTAATTTATATATATCATGCCAGTTCGCTGGCTGTGGCGACCCCTGAAGAAGAGAGCAGCCAAAAGAAACGTACCTGGTTCAAATCCTGGCCGGGGCCCTTCCTGGGTGGAGTTTGCATGTTCTCTCCGTGCATGTGTGGGTTTTCTCCGGGTACTCCGGTTTCCTCCCACAGACCAAAAACATGCATGTTAGACTGATTGGTAACTCTAAATTGTGAATGAGAGTGAATGGTTGTTTGTCTCTTTGTGTCCCTGTGATGGACTGGAGACATGTCCAGGGTGTCCCCCGCCTCTCACACAGTGACCCCCCGCGACCCAAAAAAGAAGAAGCGAGTAAAGATGGATGGTCGGTGCGTTGGTCAAATGATTGGTGTGGCTGTGATTAACCTGTGGGGGCCAAGGTGTGAGTGCTTTACTCTTCACACTCGTCTCAGCAGTCCAAATGAACCAACAGGACCAGAACCCATTTACCCAAACAGTTCTGAAGATGTTCTTCTGTTTCTCCTGACACGTCTAATCTAATAACTCCAATAATTCCTTGTTTACATTTAATCTGCGAAAGAAGCAAGAAAACAACTTCCTGTTGTGATCTTGTTTTTGTTTTCAGGATTCACAGATCCCAGACCAGTCAGCTCCAGAGCAGCTTTCACCAACACAGAGTCCAGCAGCACACCTGGACCCAGGTCCAAACAGCTGAGCGCAGCCCGACCCACCTGGTGCTGAGAGAATAAACCCAGACCCAGTTTCTGTCACTCTGGAAGATGTGAAGCTCCTTGGTTTGATCCAGATCAGTTTTCTGGTTTGAAGTCCTCACATCAGAATCTAAAGTGGACCTTTGATCACAGCCAGAGCTCTTTGCAGCTGTCTGCTGCTGGAAACTGTCTAAACTGAAGATTATTCTGGATTTTGTCTCAGTTCTGTCATTCGTTTCTATTTATGGTGTGCTTTAATCCTAATCTGTGTCACATCAGCCGTTTTATTTCTGCACGCTGCTGCGTAGAAAACAACTGGAGTCAGAACCACTGGAGCCGAGCTCAGCGCACCACCTTTACTTCAGGTGGAAGTCAGCGTGCAGACTTCTCTGTGCCGTTTCAGATGTTTAACTTTAAATGTTGCTTTTTATGTTTTTTAATAAATATTATCTATAAATGGAGGGCAAAGTTCATTTAGTCGTTGGGTCTTGTGGCTGCAGCTCAACTCTGCAGACTCTGCTGGTACCAACACCAGGAACTCTCAAGTTTCAAGACTTGGAGCGGCTGTGGGTGAGTGGTTAGATCAGTCGTCCTATGGGAGAGTTGGGGGTTCGACTCCACCAGCAGTCACATGCCGAAGTGTCCCTGCAAGACACTGAACCCCTCATTGCCTCCGATGTGTGTCCCAGTGGTGTATGAATGTGATGAAGCTCTGATTAATCTACAGATTCAGATTATCTTTGTACAGAGAGGGTAAATGAGGGCACAGATTGTAGAGTAAAGCACTTTTAAGTATCTTGATAAGATAGAAAGGTGCTGGTCCATTTACCACTTCAGTTTTCCCTCACGTCAAGTAAAACTCAAACAAGAACGAGCACGACTGAATTAAAGAAGATATTTTATTAATAAATAAAGTTAAGAGGAGCGTGGTGTGGGCCTGAGCAGCTCGTGGTCTGTGCCAGCCGCCTGATAGTGGCCTATAGAAATATACACGCACTTGTGACTCGGGTCAGGTCCGCACTGACCCCCCAGGCTGCTGCACCGGAGCCTACAGCCCACACGGACCCCCCCAGGCTGCTGCCACACATCACAACAGTAAGACTTGAAGACGGAGTGGGAGGAGGGTGACTTTAGTACGTGACCTTCTTGATTTCGTCGTACAACACCAACACGAAGGCGCCCCCCATGCCTCTGATGACGTTGGACCAGGCACCCTTGAAGAACGCTTTTCCTCCCTCGTCTTTGAGGATCTTCTTCCAGCAGTCGATCGTGCCCTTGTACATGATGTCAGCTGCGGAGACAGAGACAGTGAGACTCGCGGGCCCAGTGTGACGAGTCCAGCGGGCTCAGACAGGTGCTCACCTCCTTTGCGTCCCGACTGCATCATCATGCGACGTCTGACCGTGTCGAAGGGGTACGACACGAGGCCCGCGACCGCCGTGACGGTCTGCGCGATCATCCAGCTGATGATGATGTGCGTGTTCTTCGGGTCCGGCAGCATTCCTGTTGAGCAAGTCAGTGAGTGAGTGGAGAACATTTCAAACATGGCGTCAGATCAGGCGTGCGCACCTTTGGCTGTGTCGAAGCATCCGAAGTAGGCCGCTCTGTAGATGATGATGCCCTGCACGGACACGTTGAAGCCCAGGTACAGACCCTTGAGCCCATCCGTCTTGAAGATCTTGGTGATGCAGTTTCCGAGGCCGGTGAACTCCCTCTCCGCGGGGCCCTTGCCGATGTCGGCGGCCAACCTCGTCCTGGCGAAGTCGAGCGGGTAGACGAAGCAGAGCGACGTGGCTCCAGCGGCGCCGCCAGACGCCAGGTTACCTGCAAAGTAACGCCAGAACTGTGTTTTCTGGTCCACGCCACCGAGGAAAACCTTCTTGTACTTGTCTTTGAAGGCGAAGTTAAGCGCCTGGGTGGGGAAGTATCGGATCACGTTGGCCAGGTTCCCCCTCCAGAAGGAGATGAAGCCCTGCTCCTTGGGGATCCTCACCACGCAGTCCATGATGCCCTTGTACTGCATCTCAGCCGTGATCTGTTTGCTGGCGTGCTGCACCTGTTGGAGACAAGAGGCCATCTTGAGCTGAAGCTTTGAGCCATCACATCCTTTCACTATGATGGAAGCACGTGACCGCAGCTTCTAACACCTGAGTAAAACTACACCTCCGCTGACGTCACACCTTCACGTGCGCTGTGACATTACGCACGAGATCAGAGCCCCCTCTCAGGGTGCAGCAGGATGCCCCCTCTCCTCTCAGAGCACATCTCATTTAAACTTTTAATGTTTGGTTCACCCGTCACCATCAAATTACGCACGCATTACGCGCGCGCATTACGCGCCTGTCATTGTTTCTGTACCTGCAGCAACAGTTTGACCCTCTCGATGGGGGCCACGGCGGTTTTGGAGATGGCAGCGGCGACTCCCCCCGCCAGAAAGTCCTTCATGAAACTGATCACAGCGTCCGACATGACTGCGCGCGTGCACACCAGAACTAGACCCGAACTTCAGTACTTCACGAACCCCCACACGCCTCCAAGTGGCCGAGGAGCCCCCCGGCTCCTCTTATATATGGGGGGCGTTCATCGCGAGAACCTGGAGTGATGGACCGGCAGCTGCTCGAACCGAGCCACGAGGCAGGACAAGTGTCCAGGGTTGAAGTTCAAACCCGGCGCCATGTTTTATCCTGGGGGGGTCGATTAAAGGACACGAAGGGCTGCATGTGATAACTGTTGTTGCCATTAATTCATAAAAACCATAATTCATCTGAGTGTACATCTTTGTCTTGGGCCGAGCCTGAACCCGAGTCAAAGTGGACCTGAAGTGAAGATCTAAACTGGGATTAAAACTCCAATAACTGGGGCCAGAATAAATGAAACCAGCACGAGGTCATCATCCCATGAAGAGTAAAATGTTCAATCCTAATCTGTCAAATCTGACCCAACAGGAGGAGGTGAAACGGCTCATATGTGGAACATCTTGTTCTTTACAGCATCAGATACTGGATTACAGATTAAATTACTGAGCCTCGAACACTTTCACCAGACTGAAGAGAAGCCACTTCATAATCTGTCTAAAGATTAGGGATGTTTTTACAAACCCTGGATTACAGATTATTTCACGCACAGGCACCAAAATAAGATCACAGTTTCACAAACAAAACTAGAAGATAATCCAAGTGTGATGTGTGCTCTGGAATAAAACTGCTTCAGGAAAGTTTTGATAGCCTTGTGGCCACGTGATGGCGCTGTTTGCACACATTCAGCACAGTTTCATCCAGATTAACATCAACCCAACTGAGAATAAAAACTGAGCTGTTATAAAATGACTCCTCTTCATTGAGGCCCACGTCTCGTGTTCTGTCTTCAGCTGGACAAAGAGACATGAACATGAACAGGTTTGTGTTTTTGAGCTCCGTCCTTTTTATTCATTTATGATCACTGACGACACAAAGAGCTGCTCAATCCTCAACGTGTCACCACGAGAACATTTCAAAAGCCTCAATTCAAAAAGACTGATGTGCTTCATGGAGATCAAGAAGAGCACAGGTTTTTATCCTAATCCCAGAAGATGAGCTGTTGTTCTGGAGACAACAAGATGTTTGACTGATCTGTGATGGTCCTCTTCAGCTCAGCTGACAACTGCCTGATTTTTGACACAGAAGAGCTCCTTTTCATTTATTACAACTATGACATGGTTTCTATTCATCACAGGGAAATGAACGTTTTACAACCAACATAAAACATATTTTTAGTCAAGTCACCTTTATTTATAAATCACATTTAAAACTGCAGCTGTTACCAAAGTGCTTAACTATAAGATCAAGGCAGTAAGTAAAGAAAAAATATATAATTAAAAGCATCAAAATAAAAACTTAATAACACAAAAACAATGAGAAACAATGAAGTAAAAAATCGCCCTGTGATGGACTTGCGACCTGTCCAGAGTGTACCCCGCCCCTCGCAGTGATTGTCGGACATGGGCACCGGCGACCCCTGTGACCCAAAATGGAAGAAGCGGGTAAAAGATAATGGATGGATGGAAATGGTAAATCAGATCACACTGGGTTAAACATCAGTGAAAACAGGTGTGTTTTTAAAAGAGATTTAAAAACAGGAAGTGAAGTCGTCTATCTAATGTTGGTGGCAGATTGTTCATAAGTTGAGGGCCCATGATTGAAAAAGCCCGATCTCCTCTGAGCTTCAGTCTGGTTTTTGGTACAACCAAAAGCAGCTGGTCAGATGATCTCAGCGCCAGAGAAGGAACATATAGTTGAAGTAGGTCAGAGATGTATGAGAGTGAAAGGTCATTAATGCAGTTAAAGGTCAACAGGAGAATCTTAAAATCAGTTCTGACACGCACAGGGAGCCAGTGAAGGGAGGACAAAACTGGTGAAATGTGATCAAACCTACAAGTTCCTGTTAAGAGCCGAGCTGCAGCATTTTGGACGAGCTGGAGACGTGAAAGGGACTCCTGACTGACCCCAACATAAAGACAGTTACAGTAGTCCAGCCGGGTTGTAATGAATGCATGAACTATTTTTTTAAGGTCAGAGCTGGTCAACACAGACTTAAACTTAGTTATCTGCCTTAACTGGAAGAAGCTTTTTTGTATTAATATGTTTATTAAACTTAAAGTCAGAGTCTAAAACCATCCATAGATTTGTAACAGACTGCTTAAGACATGGCTCAAGGAAGTCCAGGTTTATAGGAACAGAGACATCAGTAGGGCTAGGGCTAAACACTGAGCGTTGAAACTTAAAAAAATTGAAGCCATCCAGGCCTTGATGTCATCAAGACATTTTAACAGAGGATGAATGGAGCAAGAACTGTTGGGTGGTAAGGGCAGATAAATCTGACAATCATCAGCATAACAATTAAATGAAAGACCATGTTTCCTCGGAATAAACCCCAAGGGGAGCAGACAGAATGAAAACAGAAGAAGTCCAAGAATAGAGCCCTGCGGGACCACGCAGGAAAGGGACACTTAAGCAGATAAACTATTATCAACATTAACACAAAATGTGTGTCATCACAGGTGTCATGTTGTGTTTTTATCTCAGCATAAATATGTTATTTAAAGACGGCATACCATGGAGCTTCAGGCTGTGTTTTAAGGATTAATTTTATTTTGAAGAAGACATTTATTCCTAAATGTTCTGTTTAAGCGAAGCGTTAGCTCTTATCAGAGAGGTCAGAGGTCAGGCCGTGCTGCAGGGCATCACCTGCTCAGGAGTTCAGGGTCTGGACCACCTCATCGGGTCAGTTCCTGCTCCTGTTGGGCCGCACTCACATTTAAGTTTTTATTTCTTTTTATAAGTCATTACTGTGTGTCAAAGAGGAAGACTCTTATCTGGAAATGTGCTGATGACTGAAAGAACTGGGTCCTTGTCTAAATTTAATCCAGTTTTGCAGAAATCGAGCTCAGATTTTGGAGATAGAGGGAGGGGGTCGTGGTGAGGCTGGATTAGCATTTTGAGTGCGAAGAGCTGCAGGTGTCAGACTCTTAGCTCCCCCAAACACAAACACGCAGCTCGTGCAGTCAGAGATTTTATCAGCTAAGACGCGAGTGAGACGGACCCATTTTTATTTTCACTGTGTGAGACGAGCAGCAGCTCAGGAATAATGGAGATTATGAACGTGAGGCCGGATTAAAACTGCTCAGATTAAGGTCAGAAGTCAGTTTTGCGAGGACGACGGTGTCTAAACTTGTTTTCACAGAAAATAAAGATTGCCAACAATGAAAATGTCTTGATTTGATAAGAGTATGAACTGACTCATACAGAACATAAAGACTCTGACCTGGACAAAACTGGGAGCTTCTAAAAGTTGTTTTTCTTATTGTGGAAGAAAAATCAAAATCAAACTTCTCCACGAACCTAAAGTTCAAGATGACTTTGATCTTAAACACTGGGTCCCTTTATCATCTATTAAACACGATTTAAACGGAGTACAGCAGAGAATTTGCTGGAAACTACCGTGTTTTCAAATTTAAATTCATTAATTCAACCTTTATTTATACAGATAAGTCTCATTGAGCCTCGAGGATTCATTTAGAAGAGAGACCCATTTTAGACAAAGAATGATGACAACAATAGACAATCATATAAGAAGGCATACAAATTGAAAAAAATAATAAACGATCAAAAATAGTATTAAAAACCTAAACAAAAACAGCTAGGTTGTAAAGCGATGTAAAAAACTAAAAACAGGAACATGTCTGCGCTGGTTTTTACCATGAATTTAACAGATGTTTAAAGCCACTTAGAGAGGTCAAGGTCGAGAGCTTCAGATCTTTTTGCAAGATATTCCAGGAAACAGGAGCGGAGTAGGAG